CCCTCCCTCCACCATGAGCGGGGCCCTCTCCGCAGTGCTGGGTCCTGCGGTGCCCGAGATCAAGATCAAAGAGGAGGTGGAGCCGATGGACATCATGCGACCCGTATCTGGTAGGTGGTCGTTGAGGTGGTGGAGAAATGAGGAGGGATTCACACACCCACCCTGAAAATGGGATTGCATCTCTTTCATCTTAGCACAGAACACCAGTCCAGGAGTTCCATGTGCCTTGTTAGTCATAAAGTTCTCCTGTGCCTTCTGCCCATCTCCCCTGAAATCACTTGTGACTGCTTCGTTCAGATGATCCAACTGTAAACAGTCCGTGTGAATTCCTTGCTTAAAACACACGCTCAGCAGCAGTACCAGTCTGTTATGGGTCAGTTTGGTTGACATCAGTTGTCTCACAAATCCTACTGTTCAGGTCTTCTTGTATGTGAAGAGTTAGTGACCAGATAAGGAGTTCATAGGGCTCTCCTGCAATTCATGGGTATTTTTCTCTAGAACTTCAACACATATTCATTATATTGCCTTACTTATCCAGCTTGGTTATAGTTGCTATCAGATGGCATGTTCACTAAAATTCAGATCCTTACGGGCCAGCACTATACAGTGACAAAATGATGTGAATGTATCCCACATTCACAAGTATCAGAGTTCTGGTTTAGTTGGTTTTATCACTCTCCTTAAAGCTGTACGTTATCCTGGGATCTGTAGCTACTTGCCACAGATGTCTCTGCAGCACAGACAGGTAGCATTAAGCTCTTCAGGGTTCTTTTTTTTCTCTCACTAGCAATTGTGGCTATGCCAAATTGTCAAGAGATCCCATCCCAGAAAATTTTTTTGCTGTGGCTCTAGTCATGGCTGATGGAGCTTCTCCCTCAAGGTCAAGGAGTGTTCCCTCAAGCTATCTGCTGCACTGCTGCCCAACTTCAGAGCTGTAGTAACCTACTGAGATGGTGCAGTTGACTTGGCAGTACAAGTAGACTCTTGCAAGGAGAGCACTGCAGTCCTGATTTGATTGCACAGGATTCCCTACTTAGAAGAGGAAAGAGGCTTGCTATCCATGTGGTCTCAGCTGACATACATACAGATTTTTTTTACACTAACAGAAGACAGATGTTAGCACAGATTCCTTTTTGTGGCATTAAACTAATATAAGCTTAAAATATAAAGGAGCTGAGGGACATTTGTCTCTGCCCTCGTTCTTTATGCTTTTGTACATGAGACACTGAAGACCTTGGCATACAGGCTTGTCCTTGCAATTGGTGCTGGCTTAATACCTGGCCTCCTACACAGACAGAGAAGTGCTGATGCACTTCATGCTCCTCACAATGTGCTGAAACAGGAACTGCTGTTGGAAGTGGTGTTCCAATGATGTGAGCGTGTTACCTTTACACTGCTGATGGTTTGAGCTATTTTTTCCTTTTCCCTTCCCCTCAGCAGTCCCTCCTTTGACTACAAGCACTGTGTCACCCTCTTTGGCATTGCTGGCCAACAACCTCTCAATGCCTCCGAGTGATTTGCCCCCTGGTGCCTCCCCGAGGAAGAAGCCCCGTAAGCAGCAGCACGTCATCTCCACAGAGGAGGGGGACATGATGGAAACAAACAGCACCGACGATGAGAAATCCACTGCCAAAAGCTTGCTGGTGAAGGCAGAGAAGCGGAAGTCTCCTCCGAAGGAGTATATAGGTAATGTCAGCTCTAGTGACGTTGTTCCCTAATCAGGCATCTATATTTTCTTTTCCATTTGTTTCTGTGTCGTTCTCCTGCTTCCCAAAGACAAATAACACAGAATCCAAGTACCTGTTCCTCAGCACTTCCTGTGTAGTCATATTTGGGGGAGGTGACCTTTCTCAACACACAGCACCACATTGTACGAGGTGGTGCCTCCTGGTGGTGTGCCGGAGCTCCCGTGCCACACCCATCTCCTGCTTTCACTCGCTCCATGATGCTGATAGTTCTCCCTGGGTCCTCTTCCAGATGAGGAGGGCGTCAGGTACGTGCCCGTGCGCCCCAGGCCGCCCATCACGCTGCTGCGGCACTACCGCAACCCCTGGAAGGCTGCCTACCACCACTTCCAGAGATACAGCGACGTGCGCGTCAAAGGTCAGTCTGCTGCCTCCCGGGCTGCCCCCGGGCACCCCCTCCTGCCTGTGGGGCACGTCAGCTGCCTGCTGCTGGCGAGCAGGCCCACAAAAGGCTTCTGATTGCCACGTGGAAAACAAGGGTTGATCAAGTGAGCTTTGTAATGACTTCCATTAGCTAGAGGTTGGCTAAATCCCTTGTGCTTAAGGCACAGGAGGAAGGAGGGAAAGGACGCTAAATAGAATTAGCTGTAATTTTGCAAAAGAGATCATATGGCTATTGAGAAATCTACTAATGTACCATGACAGAGACATTAAAGAAAGTAATCCTTAAAGCAATCACATGCTGTCATGAAATGCTACAGTTCAGTTTTCTGATCTTCTTAATGCCTAACAAACTTACTAGTTTAATCAAAATAATTTCTAGGTCCAGTGTAACTAATCTTGTCAGCTAACAAATGAGTTTTTAAAGATATTTTTTTTTAATACAAGGAAAATAGAGATTGAATACTGATTTTTAGGCTTTTTAGCCAATATCTTAGAATCTTAAAGCAGGGTTTTTTTTAAAGTTTGGGTTTTTTAAGCAGGGTTTTCACAATTCTGTAAATACATCAGGGAGGTAGTAGATAGGTAGTTCAGGGATAAAGGATGGACCTTTTCCTTTTTCATACAGGGTGTTTGAAATGCTGAGGGCTACATTCTTTAAAAGGGGAAAAAAAGGAGATACAACTTTTCTGGAAATAGACATCACCTGTTAATGAGCAAGAGCAGTGGTCAGATACACTGTGGCTGGGTGGCTGATCTCCCACCTGCATCACAAGGATGCTGATTCCCATTCATTGGGATGTCTGGAGAGCAGGCTTTGGGTCGGTGTGTGAGAAGAGGTCTGGTGGACTCCTGAATAACACGTCTTTGCCTTTCCTGGTGACAGAGGAGAAGAAGGCCATGCTGCAGGAGATCGCCAGTCAGAAGGGGGTGTCCTGTCGTGCACAAGGGTGGAAGGTCCATCTCTGTGCGGCACAGCTGCTGCAGCTGGTAGGTGGAGGGACCTGCTGGCTTCCCGCGGCGCGGGGCAGCGCGGCGTGAGGCAGGAGGATGTTCTTACAAACTCAGTCCATGCTCATCTGGCACGGGGAAGCATAAAGGAGCTGGTGTGTAGCGCCCAAAGGGAGCGGGACGTGCTTTCCCCTTTCTCAGGAATGTGGCGTTAAGTGGCTTGGAAACTTAGAGTGTTGATTTTGATCCAGACATAAGAGCTGATGTATTTTGTACAGATGATCAAAATTGGCAACTCCCTCCTGCTGATGCACAGGTCGGAAGAAGCGTCTGTTTGGGATGGTGCGGCTGATCTGAGGAGGCAGCACTGATCCACATTCCTGGATGCTTCTGTTTCAGGTTGGGGGTGAGGTAGGTGCTCTGCATTCTAGCACCAAACTCCCCAAAACCTCTGCATTCCTGGAATAGTATTGTGAGAAACAGGGGAAACAGTTCTGGTTAGGATCCATGTTTGTTCAGAAGTGGAGTGACCCTGTGAGTAGGCTGTTAGTGAGAACGGTAGCGCCACACTACGTCAGAGGCTCCATCTTCTGAATTACTAACATGAGCAGCTCCAAGGGGAACAGATGTCATCTTCTCTGTGTAGCTTCCTTCGTGCGGGCGAACGTTGCCTGGCCTGGCAGTGAACCTGCTCAGGAAGTGCTCCTGTCTTGTAGACAAACCTGGAGCACGACGTGTACGAGCGCCTGACTGCCCTGCAGGAGGGACTCATTCCAAAGAAGAAGGCGGCAACCGACGACGACTTGCATCAGATCAATGAACTGATACAGGTGGGTTCCTGTGGCCTCCCAGAACTGTTTCACCCTTAATTAGAAGATACACTACTGCAGTTACAAAGACCTAAAGCTGGCTTTAAAAAACTCATAGGTACACTGCCTGTGTCAGTAGTTACAAGAGGTATGAAATGCTGGGGTCTGAACCCCAAGCCCTGAATTAAGGTTGACATGTGGGTGATTCCCACAGCCCTTCATAAAGAGGTGGTGAGTTTACCTCATAGCTTCCCCCCAGGGTGCAGCCACCCCTGCAGGGAGAGCCAGAAGGGAAATGAGCCCCAGGGGTCCCACATTGAGCTGACAAAGGTCAGGGGTCTGCTCGGGGATAAAAGCTGGGACCACCTGCAGGAGGGGAAAAGTGTCTGTGGAGTGGGCACACTTCACAGAGTTTCCTGGTTGAGGAAGGACCTCCTGATTCTTCTGGAACTGGGCCCCAGTCAGCTTGGACCTTTGCAAACGTGGGCTAGGAGGGTGAGAGCTGCCATGTGGGCACCTTTGTCTTGTGTGTTTAACCTCCTGACCTGGCTGTTTCCCATCCCATCTATGGGAAGCCTTGGTTCTATGTTTATTCCACCCATTGTGGGTCGGGCAGTGTCGTTGTTGAGATCTTTGGGGGTAATGTCAATGGTTTGTGAACTAATTGACTCGCTTGTACCCCCAGCGATTGTCCACAGATTGCCTTTTCTATATTCACTTACTTATTTGTCTTTCTGCTGGCTGTGTCATTCCTGTTAGGCCCAGTGATTGGCAAAACAGAGGTATTAGGAAAAGGCACAAGGGGTTGCTCAGAGTGGAGGGTTTGTTAATGACAATGGTGTTTGTTTCAGGGGAACATGCAGAGGTGTAAGCTTGTGATGGATCAAATCAACGAGGCTCGAGACTCCATGCTGAAGGTCTTGGATCACAAGGATCGTGTTTTGAAGCTTCTAAACAAGAATGGAACTGTCAAGAAAGTGTCCAAACTAAAGCGGAAGGAGAAGGTCTAAAGCTGGAATAATGACTCTGGAAATGGAGCACATGTACAGAATGGAGTTGAACCTTTTTTGTAGTTTGGGTTTATTTTTAAGCAGAGCATCTGAATAAAAAGGATGAGTTTAGGGAACAGATGGCAACAGATGGACGTGTGAAGCCTGGTGACCTGAAGGGATTGTCACTGATCTGTCATAATGAACAAAGATTTCTCTCAGGCTCATCCCTTTTTAAAGTCTTTCCAGTCCAGTTTGTTTAACCCTTCTGCTGTGTCGGACGGGCGCCGCAGCCTGAGCTGGGCAGTGGGGTCAGCGTGCAGGGGGCTGTACTCACCTGCAGCACCAGAGGGCCTGGGGGGGACCCCGGGGGGCTGACACACAGGTCCTGACCCCCACAGCAGCCCTGCCCCAGAGCCTGGGGAACCACCCCCCTGTCACTCACCCCACTCAGTCCTTGTCCTTCCGACCTCCCAGTGTCTGAAGCAGCCTTCTGAAACCAGTGCCACTGCACCAGGAGATGTGCCACAGTCAGAATCTCCCAACGGCTCCCAAGTCCTAGCTGTCAAGTTAAGAAAAAAATAAAAATTGAAAAAAAGAGGGGAAAAAAAAGGGGGGGGAAATCATTTCAAAGTGATTTTTGTAGTGTCTGTGTGTGTGTGTCTATGTTGGTGCTCTGGGATACCTGTTTTTGAAGTACCTCTTGCAAGAGAGGACTTCTGTAGCTGGTGTAATGTTAATTGTATGTACCATATACATCCTGAAAACACCAATAAAGGACTTGGAGGTTTTTGTAAGTGAGCAGTTTGTACACCTTTATACTCGTGAAGCTACTGGACCTGCGAGCTCCAAACCAAGGTGAAGCCTTTTGGGGAGAAGAAACACTTGTTGACTGTTCAGAAAGGTTGCCAAATAGGTTCATCTTTAGTCTCCTCGGCAGGAGGCTTCAGTTCCAACAACTCATTCTGATGTAAC